CTGTAAATGTGGAACTGAGCTGAAGGAATGAGACTGTATGTCTTGTTCTGTGGTATCACAAACATTAAATGCAAATATCCTGCGTTATAAGATATATAAGAGGCAGTTGCTGTTCTAGTATACAGCCAGTGTTTTGGTTCCTCTCTGGAGAATGTGGGCGTCACATGGTGAAATAGATGTTGGCTATAATGCCATGGGGGCTGTTTTCCAAAAAATATGGATCATGGTCTTTAAAGATTTCCAGGACTTTTCAGGGTTCTACAACATTGGTACATTCTCTTATTAATTTGAATTGATATTTATTCATAGTTCCTATTCTCCAGGTAGACTTTTTCTCCATCCCACTCCCCACCCCAGCCAAATGCACACATACATTTACTCTTTCCTCTTGTTTCTTCTGCAAATATTTATTCTGTAAATTTTTCTTCGACGTTCAGGGTGCATGGCCATATCAAAGCCTTACTTTCTGTAGGCCACTGCCGAGTACTTGCGCATGTATCGTCCAACTTAAACCATCGCAAGACCTTTCTGGGGTAGTTGTTATTTTTTCCCTTCTGTTGTTCAAAAATGTCATCCTTCAGGAAACTCTTCTCTGTTAATTGGAAAAGTAGAGGGGGATTTCTGTGTTCTGTTGCTCCTGTTTCACTTTTCCAATTCATTCATTTTGCTTTCCACTTCTTTGCTTACACATCTAACAAGTGCAGGCAACTCTAGTTGATGTTATGGATTCCATGTGCTTCTTTTTTTAAATTTGAAATTGACTGACCCTTGCCTCCCGAGATATCTTGACTGCCTTTCAAAGGATAATCAAAGAATTAAATCTGCTAGAAAAAAACCTCTAATGTTTTTGTTTATTAATGACATTATGTACCAGGCACTACAGATGGATCGGCACCTTGTTTTGTACACATTATGTTGGTATGTGGCTTACACAGTGCTGGTATCTCTTTGCTTGGAATGGTTTGCCTTCTTTTCTGTCTGGCAAACTCCTGTTCATCCTTCACTGCTCAGATCTTACATCACCTTCTCTGTGAAGCTTTATGGAACTGTTTTATTTCTCTTCCTCAGGCTGGGTAATTGACTACTATCTCCTTTGTGCCCTCACTTAAGGTGCTCAGGCAGTTATTTGTCAACTGGTGGAGTGGAAGCATTCCAATATTTTAAGAACTAGTTGAGTACTAGCTTTGGTTTTCCCAGGTAGTGAGCTTCTTAAGAACAGAATGCTGCTTATACTGCTTAGTGTCTTTCATGTGAAGGATACCTCACTGCAATTCGGAAGTATAGGTGTCCAAAAGAAGCTAAACTTTTACAGCAGATATTAATGTTGTTAAAGAAGCCCTGGTGGTGC